CAAGGCTCAGAGTGTGATGTCATCAGTGATGTGAAGAAAAGGGGATGGACTCAAGGGACCAGGTTTTTGTTCCAGGTAGGGCAGGGGATTTACAGGAGGCAAGGACAAGCCCAGGAAATGACAAGGGCAGAAGAGTCAGTGGGATGGGGAGGAGAAGTGGCCTAGGAAGGAGAGGCACTCCATGTTCACATCCAGGTGGAGCTGCCCTGCAAAAATTGGACACTGACATCTGGGCTCAAAGAAGGCAGGTGAGAGATGCAGAGCTGCCAGTGCCCTGTGAGAAGGTCGTAGGCCAGGAGCTGCATTTCTGTCAGACCTTGTCCCTCTGACAACTGCCAGGTCTGGCACGGGGTATGTGGCCTTAGATCTGAACGTCAGATGGCACCCCCGGATGGCTGCTGATGGATTTCTCCATCCCTGAAGCCCAGTCACTGCTGCTGGGAAGAGCCCTAAAGGTCACGAGGGTGGGAGTGACAGAGCAGAGCCAACGTCCTTTACCACAGCTCTTCCGGGAGCTTGTGCCACCACTTCATCATAGCAGTGAGACCAGTATCGTGTCTCAGGACCCTCCTCTGAGAGGTGTCTGCACTGTATTTAGCTAAAAGGGCACTTTCCCTCCCCTAGGACATTTGACTCAAAATCTATGGCTTATTTTCAACACATTCATTTCCAACATGAATTGCTCTTCCTTCTAAAGCCACCCCAACAGAGACAAGAATGTTGAGTATCTCCTTTGGGCAGTGGCACTGGCTGTCGGCATACCATCATCACATAACACAATGGGGCACTGGGCTCAGCTCCATGTTCCAGCTTGGAGAGGGTCTGTGAAGCTGGGGCTTGCTAGAGCAGGGCAGACAAGGAGCCGAGGCTCCCCCACTTCCTAAGGTAAATATTTTACATCCCGAATCTTTTGTGATTCTTCAACATCCTGTGATACTGACACCTAAACCTGATAAAACAGTAAACTAGAAAAAAGCTCAAATACCAAACCAACCCCATTACAGACCAGTATCATTTATGAATACCAATGACTAAACAGTACACAAAACTTTAGTAACTAGAATCCAACACATTAAGGATATATCCAAATAGGATCTTTACCAGGCATGCAAAGTTAACTCATTAATAAATCCAATAATATTATATATACTAATAGAAAAAAAAAATCATTCACTTACCTCCACAGTTGATGAAAATTGCCTTTGAAAAAATTCCGTAACCATTCCTAAACAACCAAACCAGTAGCAGTCAATTCCGACTCCTGGTGGCTCCATGTGCGTCATAGAAGTGGGTTCCATGGGGTCTTCAACAGCTGTGACATTTCAGAAGTAGACTGCCAGTCCTTTCTTCCTAGTCCATGTTAGCCTGAAAGCTCCACTAAAACTTGATCAGCATCACAGCAACACACAAATCACCACTAACAGGTAATGACTGCACATATGAGGTGCACTGGCCAGGAACTGAACCAGTGGAAGGGGAGAACTAGTAACCTAGTCGTGTTGTAATACAAACACCAAAAAGAACAAGATTTATTTTCTCCCTGCTCCAGAGGCAAAGTCAAAATCAGGGTCTCAGCAATACTGATTCATTCTGTGAACGTCAATCCTACTTTCTGGTGTCTGCCAGTGATACTTGGCATTCTTTGGCTTATAAATGATCCTCACATGGTATCTGTCATCCCCCATTATTGGATAAAACCAAAAAACCCAAACCCACAGCCACTGGGTTGATTCCGACTCATGGCAACCCCCAGGGTTTCCGAGGCTGTAAATCTCTACAGAAGCAGTCTGCCACATCTTTCTCCCACAGAGCTGCTGGTGGTTTCAAACTGCCATTATTGGATATGACCTCTAAACACTATAATGATGTCAGGTCTACCTAGGTTAGCTTATAAATTTAACACAATCCCAATAAAAATATCAAGAATATTGTGTGGAGTTAGATAAGTCCATAACAAATTTATAAAAAAGAAACAAAAACCCAAACATGGAAAAATAGCCAGAAAATTACTGAGAGAAAAACCAAACAGGAATATCTGTACTAGATATATATGCAAAGAAATCTACAAACTCAATAAGAAACCAACCAATTTACAAAACCATCAGAAAATGTGAAGACATACTTCACCAAAATCCAAAACGAGACAAGAAATTAGTCGTAATTCTCACCTTCAGGGAAGAATCCCTGTTAATATTCTAGAGTGATCTCTACAAGGCAGTTGGCATTTATAAAATGTAGTATAATATACAAACATATAAATGGTTTAAAAACTGACATCATCATGCACACTATTTTATATTTTGCTGTAGTGCAATGAGTTTCTTGTATATATGGCAGTTCTGGCCCTGGGTTTGTAATTCTGCCAAAAACTACTGGTTGGGCCACTGCCGGCCCTGTGTTTGGTTCATTTTATGCACCTTTCAGGGATTGGTGGATCTGCTATTCAAATAGTCACTTGAAAATCCACCCAGTAGGACTGAGTGACTTGTAGCCCACCAAGGGGATTGGTCAGTCATGGTCCTGCAGAAATTGCCATGCCTTGAAATTGCCAAAGAGTTGGCTTATATAAGCAGCAATCCAACAAAGGGACAGAAAAGAAAAAGAGGAAGGAATCTCCTAAAAGCTGTAATATGAATCGAGCTGTAACACAGAGCATGGCACAAGGCCCAGGAAAGGGCCCAGGGGCAGACAGCCAGTAGCAGAAGTTGTGGTGTGGGCAGAAGGCTGCTGCTAGGAAAGCAGCTAAGAGAGCTGAGTGGGCTGCTACACTGGCCATGAGTTAGGCCATGTGATAGATTGAATTGTGTCCCCCCAAAATAAGTGTGAACTTGGCTAGGCCACGATTCCCAATAGTGTGTGGTTGTCCATTTTGTGATCTGATGTGTTTTTCCCATGTCTTTTAAATCTTAATCTCTATGATGTTAATGAGGCAGGATTAGAGGCAGTCATGTTCAGGCAGTACTCTATATACAAGATTAGGTTGTATCTTGAGTCAATCTGTTTTGAGATATAAGAGAAGTGAGCAAAAAGGAGAGGGATCTCATTACCACCAAGCAAGACACAGGAGCAAAACGCATCCTTTTGACCCAGGGTCTGTGTGCTGAGAAGCCTCTAGACCAGGGAAAGATTGATGAAAAGGACCTTCGCCCAGAGCCAACAGAGAGAGAAAGCCTTCACCTGAAGCTGGCGCACTGAATTTGGACTTCTGGCTTCCTAAACCTTGAGACAATAAATTTCTGTTAAAGTCATCCAGTTGTGGTATTTATTACATCAGCACTAGATAACTAAGACTGTCCAGTTAACAACAGTGATGGCAGGAAGACCAAAGACAGAGGTGTGCTCAACCAAGAAAGGTCTGCTAGCATGGCAGAGATGACCTGAGAGAGTTGTCCTGGTTGGAAGCTGTCCTGATGAAGTTTATCCTTTCCTGAATTGTATCCTGTTACCTAATAAACCATGTAAGTGTCCATATCGTCTGTAATTTGTGTGGTCACCACAACAAATTATTGAACCCAATAGAAAAGTAGACTGTACCACTGGGAGAACAGCTGGTATCAGAAATGGTGAAGTCGAAAGTGGATGTATGTCTGACCTTCACCTCATAGGAACCTGCTTTGTGCTGATAATGATTCATATCCCTAAAGAGTCTAGACGGTTTCTTGCATGAACACAACACCCTTTCACACATTACTGTATGACTGCCTCTCCTAGGGTCGAAATATTTTCTGAAAACTCTCATTTAGTGACAGTTTAGTATTGTGATGCGTGGCCAGGCATTTATTGAACAACAACCTTCCTGGCAGACATTGACTCTCATGGTATTCGTTATCTATCACTATCAACAGGCACCATCATGGTCCCCAAGAATTTCCATCAGATGAAACTACAAGAGGAATTGATGGATCAAGAAAAAATCTACTTTGAAGTCTTCTGCTACCTTCAGCCACCATTTTGCAGGCCCCATACATGAGGACTAAGTGAGCCAGCTCCCAGCTCAGCATGGGGCAGAGTGGAGCTGGATAAAATTCTAGACCCAACAACCCTTTGTCTTTTCCCCACTAACACAGGAAACCTAGATCAGCTCCCATCTTCTGCAACCCTGTTGGGGGTGTCCAAACCAGGTGGATCAGCATCCACTACTGCAGCTCAGCAACTACAGCCTCAGCTCCTGGTCTGGTGCAGTCTTGACTGTCAAAATGACCAAAACCAGGACTCTGTCACTGAGCACAATCTCTGCATCTATGCAGGTCAGTTTCATTGAAGCTAGGTTAGGTGGGGTCTCTGTGTGGGTCCATTACAGACTTGGGGCACAAAATGAAATGTCCTTCCAATCAAACCCTGCTATTCAAACCACCATTTGAGAGAAAGCATCTCTGTCAGATGATTATGGATTAAAACATACACTTCAATCCTGTTTCTGTTAAAACCATTTTTGTGCACAGAAAAAGACTGAAAGGAATAGGCAAAACATCAAGAATAGTGTGGTTCTCAGAAAAATGCAAACATTACTTATCGAAATTCATGCAACAGAATTGAAAGTGGGATTAGAGTGATATTTTTCTCCTTAATGTTTACATTAGAAAATGAAAACTGGAAATTAATGCATATGGGGATAAATCACTGGTAAATTCCACATTTCCAACTTGGATAAGATTCCTCCTCGGGTACAAAAAAGGCTGCCTATGAGACCTTTCACACTGGAAACACTCTGTGACTAAGCTTTGTGATAAAGCCTTTAATCAAATCATTTCCCTTTAAGGCAGCGGAGGAATGCTGCTGTAAAAATTAGCATATCACACTTACGAAAATACCTCAGACTGGCAAACAAATGTAAGATTGCATTATTTGTGGTCTTAGGAATCACTAGGGGCCTTCCCACATTCCTTAAATTCCTAAGACCTTCCTGTGAGTTATATGAATAGTGAGGTGTGACAAACAGCTAATGACTTTCTTGCATTCCTTACATTCATAAGGCTTCTCTTCAATGTGAACTCATAAGTTGAGGTGGGAGGAATGACTAAAGGCTTTCCCACATTCCTTACATTCATAAGTTCTCTCTCCACTGTGAATTCTTACGTGTCTAATAAAGTGGGAGAAACGGCTAAAGGCTTTCCCACATTCCTTACATTCATAAGGCTTCTTTCAACTGTGAGTTCTTATATGTGTAGTGAGAAATGAGAAACTAGTAAAGGCTTTCTCACTTTTCTTACATTAATAAGTCTTCTCTCCACTGTGAGTTCTTATATGTCTAGTGAGGGATGAGTAAGCTCTAAAGGATTTCCCACATTCCTCACATTTATAAGGATTATCAACACTGTGAGTTCTTACATGCCTATTGAGAGATGAGACACTAGTAAAGGCTTTTCCACATTCCTTACATTCACAAGGCCTCTCTCCACTGTGAGTTCTTATATGGTAAATGAGAGATGAGTAATCTATAAAAGCTTTCCCACATTCCTTACATTTGTAAGGTCTCTCTCCACTGTGAGTCATTAAATGTCTAGTGAGGTGTGAGGAACGACTAAAGGCTTTCCCACATTCCTTACATTCATAAGGCCTCTCTCCACGGTGAGTTCTTATATGATTACAGAAGGATGAGGAAGAACTAAATGTTTTCCCACATTCCTTACATTCATAAGGCCTCTCTCCACTGTGAGTTCGTATATGTGTAGCAAGGAATGAAGAACGACTAAAGACTTTCCCACATTCCTTACATTCATAAGGCCTCTCTCCACTCTGAGTTCTTATATGCTGAATGAGGGATGAGTAATCTCTAAAGGCTTTCCCACATACCTTACACTTGTAAGGCCTCTCTCCACTGTGAGATCTTACATGTCTAGTGAGGCAGGAGGAACGAGTAAAAGCTTTCCCACAGTCCTTACATACATAAGGCTTCTCTCCAGTGTGAACTCTTACATGTACAGTGAGGGATGAGTAATAGCCAAAGGTTTTCCCACATTCCTGACACTCGTAAGGCTTCTCTATACTGTGAGTTCTTAAATGTGTAGTGAGGGCTGAGGAATTATTAAAGGCTTTTCCACAGTGCTTACATTCACAATGCCTCTCTCTACTGTGAGTTCCTATATGTATAGTTAGGGATAAGGAATGACTGAAGATTTCCCCACATTTTTCACATTTATAAGGCCTATCTCCACTATGAAATTTTTTTTGTAAAAGGTGTGATGAGGCATGGGTTTTCCATTGTTCTTTACATTCACACTTACAACCTCTCATATGTGTCCAAAAGGATGAGAAACTACAGAAATCTTCCCCACACTTGTTACATTCATACGGTTTCTCTCCAGTGAGTGTTGTCACCTTACATTTATAGGGTTTCTCTTCAGTAAGAGTACTTATAGGAATGCTTGGGTCAGAGGAACAACTGCAGGTTTCTGCACATTTCTTATACTGGTAAGTATTGCAACCAGAGTGAAATCCGATATGATGCTTCAGTGATGAGTGATCAATGAAGGATTTTCCACACTCACGGCACTCAGAAGAATTTACAACAGTAGGAGTTCTTTTGAACACGGCAAGATTTGGGATCTGTCTGAAGGTTTTTCCACCTTGATTTTCTTCATTGTTTTCAAAGAGGTTCTTTACAATATGCCTTCTGTTAAAAATAGACAACATGCTGTTAGATTAAATTTGTTCCCATTTCACCATTACCAAACACAGTGAATGTTTACAGTTTTTGCCTTGCCCAAAGTTATCTTATGTTTCAGGGGTTAAATCATCTGGCAGAGAGGCTACCATTACTGTCACAGTGTTTCCAAAATATGAGGCTATCTGATAATTGTGTACAAGTGAAATATATTTCAAATATTCAATATCTAACTCACATTTATGAAAGTAGTATATTGTGAAATTTTGTGAACATACAATATTAGAACTAGTTTTACATAACTTTATGTAAAGCATATATATATAAAAGTTCAATGTCACAGCACTTTAAGATTTTCTCATTAGGCACTGCACTCTCTCACGTGAATGACACTCACCCCTTATGTCTCCCCTGATTTTTATGCTGATCTTCAATGTCATGCAATTTGCAGATTTCTCCTAATATGGAGAACGAGGTGTCATTCTTCATGAGTTCCACTATTAAATATTCACTGGATAACTTTTCTCCATCATTAAGGTTTTGAGAAACTGACCCAATGGTTGAAGTTGAGGTTCATAGTATGAAAGAAAAGAGGAATTATTAGAACGAAAAAGGCAGCTGTGAGTAAAGACAAAGAATGACACATTTGGCTGTTTCAGGTATTGGCAATGGTCACAAAGCAATTTTCTAGGAAACACTTCCATGAAGATTGACAGCGCCAGTAACATAAATAAGCTGTAATTAGGAAAATACAAAGATATTAGACATACTGCACATATAATGTGGAAATGCTCAGTGTACATGGAAGAGGAAAAGGGGAAATGTTTCTCCACGAACACAGGTGTGAGAGGACTGATGAAAGTAAAAAAAAGCTCAGTCCTGTGGAGTTCAGTCTCCTCAACCCAAGAGAGACTTTTTCTAACTGATTTAGTCAAATCTAATTCTCCCCATGCAAGGCTGGTCCTTCAAAAGGACTCTTGCCTTCCCGGTGCTCCCTGACATAGTGGCCCTTGATGTCCTATGTCCACTCTCCTATTTTTGTTTTCTGGGAGAACGGGTGTATCTGACATGGTGCTCATGGAGAAAGGCATATCATGAGAGAAGACAGTGAAGAGCAATGAACATTTTCCTGACACTGAGACAATACTTTGTCCTTCAGAGGCTCCAGAGATGGGCATGTGTGAATTTACAGTAATAGTAGTTATGTAGAACTTGTAATAAACACAGTGAAACTCTTTATAAGTCCCAAATCATAAGTTTCCTCTCTGTGACCTAAAGTAATACCTTAAGTCAATTCTCACATTTACAACACTAAAAGAGCCTCAAAACTTTAACAAGAAAAATAAAAATGCCATTTAACACATACAGCATTATGTTCAAGGGGAGTCAGAATTTTTAAGATCCACAGATCCAATGACCACGCTTGTCGTCTTTAATAACGCATTCCCATTCTGCAGCTCAAATACTAGAGCAACGCTGACGAGTATGATATACATGCTCACTAAATAATAAATTAAAAAATGACACCATACCTATTGAGGCCAAGTTTCTGAAGGTTTCCATCATCACATCTTTGTAGAGTTTCCTCTGAGCAAGATCCAGTAAAGCCCACTCTTCCTGGGTAAACTCCACAGCCACATCCTCAATGACCACTGAGTCCTAAAACACCCCACATATTTTGGTTCAGCAAGATACCATGTACTCCAATGTGTGCAAGAAGATGAGGCTGACAGTCCTGGGGAACTGAGAATTCATAGGGATTTGATACAAGGTTCTGTGTTGTACCATGGTATACTCCAGGGTCTAGGCATCAGCCTCATTCCAATACTGTCTACACTCACATCCTGACTGATTGCATTCTGTGTCACAGATTTAACAATACACCTACTACTCACTTTATCAGCTATCTCACTATCAAACATCTCACATTTAGAGTAGAAAAAAATCTATTTTTTGCATTAACGAGGAGCCAAGGTGACTGAGAGGAAGAGGGTGAGGTTTGTGAAAGGGAGTGAGGCCACACAGGCTGCTGGTGGTATTACCTAGGTCAGGTGGAGAAGCCAGGCAAGGTATGCACCAAGTAGGGGAGGGGCCAGAACCAGGACTACAGGAGTCAACAGTCTCTTCTTCCAAAGAGGACTCTCTGCCACCTCCATAGCCTTTGCCAGGCCCAGGTGGCCAGGCATCACCTGCCAGTAGGCACCTTGGCAGTCACCTGCCAGCGAGACCCATCTCTGGGGCTGGTGGAGTAGGAAGGTAGGAGAGGCGTGGAGTTCTGCATGGAGGCCTGCAGCAAGGCCAGGTAATAGTGGGCCCCTGCTGCTCTGGAGGTGGCAGGCAACCCCCGAGCACCATCACCAACACCCCCTAATGGGGGCCTGCTGCACAACGTGCATCCTGAGACATGCCGGGGCACCTGATGGGTGATGAGTAACCAGGGGGACAGGGGTGTCAAAGTCAGCGCACAGCCCCAAATCTTGCATAATGAACTAGTTTTTGGAACCTAACTATGTTGACAAGTTAGGATTGAGTGTGCTGCTAACACTTTCATCTCTACACTTTGTGACCAAATTCCAGTCTTATTCTCTCTTTCTTTATGGACTAGAACACTAAAAGCACATACCACAAATTGGAGAAATACTCTACAAATGAAAGTTTTGTATCTACTTTCAGATCATTTCCTTGTTAAAAAAAAAAAGTTTCACCTCCTTCCAAAAGACCACCCCCCTAAAAAACAAACAAAAGCACCCAAACTGGTTGCCATCAAGTCAATTCCGACTCATAGCAACCTTATGGGACACAGTAGAACTGCCCATATAGGATTTCCAAGGAGTAGCTGGTGGATTTGAACTGTTGACCTTTCGGTTAGCAGCCATAGCTCTTAACTACTGTGCCACAAGACCCACCAGAACTCTCAAAAAAACATGAGTCACAGGGTGAATGTAGTATATGAACTACTAGGAAATGCTGTAGAACTGGCAGTTTTTCCTTTAGCCCTTTACCAGTCATGGGAGGCCTAGGGCCCCACACTAACAAACTGGTAACCCAAAGCCCTAAGATGCTCATATTTTCTTGAAGAATGTCAAGTGATCAGGAGATAAGAGAACACCTGCTGAAAATAGAATATTCTTTTTAAGAATTACGAATTTTTACACATCTGTCACCTGTTTTTCAATAATTCAGTAAGAGTACTCTCATCCAGTCTTTTTCATGGATTCAGAAAGAGCACTGAAAAGTTCAGTAGAGCTCAGGTGAGACATACGAAACATGAGAATCAAGATCGCTCCAAAAATCTCAAAATTTGAGAACAAATGCTACTGTATACAAATTATTAGTGAACATACCCCTCGACAAATACACACCTGAACACCCATACAAACTTGAATGTTATACGATGACAAAGAGCTCTATCTCTGCAAAAACCAGGACAGCACACCCTTGTGTTTGCTGACCAGGAAAGAGGTTAAGATTCCCATTTGTAATGGGTGGGTGCTATGGATTGAATTGGGTCCCCCAAAAAACGTGTTGTAAATTTGAACCTCTATGCCTGTGGTTATAATCCCATTTGGAAATGAGGCAGAATTAGTGTCTTAAATCAATCTGTTTTGAAACGTGAAAGAGATTAAACAAGAAAGTGAAAAGAAACAGAGACAGCGAGATGTGGGGAGACATATGCCAAGCCACATGAAAATCTCCAGGAGCAGAAGCTCAGAAAAGGACCTTCATCGAGAGCTGACAGAGAAAGCCTTCCTCAAGAGGCAATACCCTGATTTTGGACTTCTACCCTCCTAAACTGTGAGAAAATTTGTATTTGTTAAAGCCACTCTCTTGTGGCATTTGTTACAGCAGCAATATATAACTAAGAGAGTGGGCAATATGATGAATGTAATCAATGTGTAACCTGACCCTACTAATGCCTGTAAATTTCCATTAGTCCTTAAACTACGTTAAGTCAGCTTTGGCCTGCCCCGCATGTGCAGAAGGGCCAGCTGTGACTGCTAACTGACCTCAACAAAGGATGAAACAGGTGGAACAAATCAGAAAGAAAATAATCACTTGGACCCAATTCCAAAGCCAGAGAGGTCTGACAAGAACCACGTCATCTCCAGTTTCCAGGCCGCCTTCTAGAATTTTCCCTCTCCAGTACACATGCGTGGCCACCATCTTGCTGCCCAAATCAGATATAAGCCCGGCTTCCCCATAGTTCAGGGAGCCAGATCTGAGGAACTTCCTCCCAGCTCTTTGCTCTGCACATTGCAATAAAGTTGCCTTCTCTTTCTCAAAGACAGGTGTCCAGATAATTGGCAAGTCTGAGCACACTAGACAAGGACCCACCTTCCCAGATTCAGTAACAAAAGTAACCAAATTATTGTTGAATTGCCAAGTGTTTTGTTGTATTTTTTCCACACCACACACACAAAATCATTCTGTAAATAAGTTAATTTTATTGCAAATTGCGAATCCTAGAAAACAGAGATTTACATACCAGCCTTCTAGAGCCTCCACTCTGACATGTTCTCACATTTGCAGCCTCTGGAAGGCACACAGGCATGACTACCCAATCACTGACCACCTGGCATTCCCTCGGCTGCAGGACTGGCCTCTGTGAAAAGCACCAATCCATTGGTTACCCCATGTAGTGAGGAGAGAAAAAGCTTCTGATGCTAAAAACGGACCACACTTCTGATGCTGAAAGTGAACTGAACAGCAGAGCAGCTGTACAACAAGAAGGCTCCTCTTGCCAGGACTGGGGCGGGGGGTGGGGGGAGTGAGCTGCCTCGACCATGTCTAATCAATATGGCATGATGGAGTCACAGCAAATGTCGATGCAGTGCCAACATACAAAAGTCTCCTCCATTGCAGTGGACCAAGTCACATATTTTAAAATCATCAAAAACCCTAATATTCATTACTGTGGTTGTTGTTACATGCTGTCGAGTCTGTTCCAACTCATAGCGTCCCTATCTACAACAGAATGAAACACTACCCAGTCCCTCGCCATCCTCACAATCCTTGTAATGCTGGAACCCATTGTTGCAGCCACTGTGTCTTGTCTGTGTCATTGAGGATCTTCCTCTTTTTGGCTGACCCTCTACATTACCAAGCATGATGCCCTTCTCCAGTGACTGGTTCCTACTGATAACGTGTCCGAAATATGTTACATGAAGTCTTGCCATTCTCCCTTCTAAGGAGCATTCTGGTTGGACTTCTTCCAAGGCAGACTGGCTTTCTTTTGGCAGTCAACAGTACCTTCAACATTGTTCCCCAACACTATAACTCAAAGGCGTCAATTCTGTCTTCCTTATTCCTCTTTCAGCTTACACATGCATATGCCAAAAACACCATGGCTCGGGTAGGAGTACGTTAGTCCTTGAAGTCACATCTTTGCTTTTTAACTAAGATATTTCATAGATTTCCCCAATGCAATATGCTGTATGACTTCTTGATTGTTGCTTCTGAGGATGTTGATTGCGGATCCAAGTAAAACGCAATCCTTGAGAAAGTCAATCTTTTCTCCATTTATCATGCTGTTGCTTATTGGTCCAGTTGTGAAGATTTTGTTTTCTTTATGTTGAGACATAATCCATAATGAAAGCTGTGGTTTTTTATCTTCATCAGTAAGTACTTCAAGTCGTCTTCACCTTCAGCAAGCAACGTTATGTCATCTGCATAATGCAGGTTGTTAATAAGTCTTCCTCCAAACCTGATGGTACCTTCTTCTTCATATAATCCAGCGTCTCGGATTATCTGCTTAGCATACAGATTGAATGTTGTTGTTGTCAGATACCGTTGAGTCAGTTCAAACTCACAGTGACCCTAAGCGTAACAGAATGAAACACTGTCTGGTCCTGTGTCATCCTCACAATTGTTGCTATGACTGAGCCCATTGTTGCAGCCGATACATCTCGCTGAGTGTCTACCTCTTTTTCACTGGCCCTCTACTTTACCAAGCATGATGTCCTTCTGCAGGGACTTGTACCTACTGATAACATGTAGAAGAGTGAGCATTTCCAGGTATGCACCCATTTGCTGAAACATCTCAATTGGTACTGTCAATTCCTGGAGGCTTGTTTTTCACCAGTGCCTTCAGTGCAGCTTAGACTTCTTCCTTCCGTACCATTGGTTCCTGATCATATGTTACCTCATAAAATGGGTGAACGTCGACCAATTCTTTTTGGTATAGTGACTCTGTGTATTCCTTCCATCTTCTTTTGATGTTTCCTGTGCCATTTAATACACAGACTGAGTAAGTATGGTGAAAAGATACAACACTGACACACACCTTTTCTGACTTTAAACCATGCTATCCCCTTGTTCTGTTCGAACAACTGCCTCCTGATCTACGTACAGGTTCCTCAGGAGCACAATTAAGTGCTCTGGAATTCCCATTCTTTGTAAAGTTATCCGGAATTTGTTACGATCCACACAGTTGAAAGGCTTTGTATAGTCAAAAAAACACAGGCAAATATCTTTCTGGTATTCTCTGCTTTAAGCCAGGATCCATCTGATATCAGCAATGATATCCCTTGTTCCACATCCTCTTCTGAATCCAGCTTCAATTTTGGTAGTTGTCTGTCGATGTCCTGCTGCAAAAGTTTCTGAATGATCTCCAGCAAAATTTTAGTTGTGTGTGATATTAATGATAGTGTTTGATAATA